ACTTTTAAAAACTATAATTTTATGGCTAAGCATGCCCTTCAGGGTGGCTGAATTGTAGACAGAAAAATCATATTCAGTCTTAGTAAGGAAAATGCTCAGAAAAAAAGGGAAGTGAGTTGTGGAAGGAAAGAGATTGCAAATCTGATTTATGCTCTAGTCTGTCATTTACTGGCTTGGTATCTTTGCCTAACTTACTTAGCCTCGCTGAACCTCAATGTCCTTTCTCATTGAGCGGGGGAAGTAATACTGATATAGTTGGCATATTTTAGTGTCAAGTGACTTAATATATGTTAAGGAAGTATGTTACCTAAAGTCACTTACTCATAATAATTATTAATTGGAAAAATAATCCCTGTCTACTATCAAATAAAAATTAATACCAAAATCTACTAAAATTCCTATCAAACTTCTCAATAATAAACCAGAAACCAAGGTGATTCATAGCGCTGTCATATGGTACTTGAATAGTAATTGTGCCCCATTTCTTTCCTAAGGCATTTATGTAAACTCAGATTTAGTAATGGCTTCTTCTGTATCACTGAACAGTCTGAACAGTTTGCCTCTGACTTCTGATCAGAGAGAAATGCCACATGCCCCATCTGACAAGTTATAACCCATGATAAAAACACAATGTTTTTCAAACTTATTAGCACACACCCCTCAGTTTTCAAAAGTGTAAATTTTGAAGATATTTTCCATAGACTTTTCTTAAAGCAAAAGAGCTAGTATGTTATACATACATACATACATACATATACATACATACATATATGTGTGTGTGCACACACACATATTCCTAGATCATGTGTTAATATAATTTTAGAGTGGGACATTTCAGTCAATTCAGCTTTGTCAAAATGGAAATAAATTATTTTTAAAAAATCACATTTTATAATGTGTATACATATATATGTATGCGTATATATATATGTATATATATATATGTATGCGTATATTTGCAATAGCATTGGTTTACCTGGTTGTTTAGAAGCATAGGCTCTCCCCCCTCAGGTGTTATCAACACACTACAGCTGCCACAAGACACCCATGGGTCACTGCTATAGTCCACTGTGCTCCCTCCTTCCCACCTTGTTCTGCCCTTCTTCCTTTCCCTCCTCCTCTGGTAGCCTCAGTTCCATTGCCAGCTTTCTAGGTTTAGTCCTAGTTTGTCTCTATCTGACCCTCTGTCTGGTTTCTCTATAATACACATAAAAGTAAAATCATTTGATATTTGTCTTTCTCCTTCTCACTTAACTAGCTTAGCATCATCCCCTCTAGCTCTATCCATGTTGCCACAAATGACCTAAGTCTATCTTTTTTGACGGCTAAGTAGTGTTCCATTGTGTGTATAGATCACATCTTCTTGTTTCACTTATCTGTTCTGGGGGGCTTCGGTTGTTTCCATTCCTTGGCTATTGTAAATAATGCTGCTATGAATATAAACATGCACATATCCCTTCAAACTAGTGTTTTTGTGTTCTTTGAGTGGAATTGCTGCATCATATGCAGATCCATTTTTAATATTTTGAGAAACCAAAATGGAAGTAAATTCTAACTGCTTTGCAATCATTTTGTGCCATAGCTAACATTTTGCTTTCCCATCAGTAGGTCAGTTTTTAGTCTAAAAATAACCTAAGTCAAGAAAATAGAGCATCAAGAAACCTCTATTTTTCAGATGGAGAAATGGAGCCATGAAGAATTTACATGCTTGGCTAAGGTCACACATATGTATAGGACTCTGAAATTCAGACTCAAGTCATCTTCTCTAATGTCAGCAAGTGAGCTGATGATAAATCAAAATGGACTTCACAAACGGGTCCTTCCGGGATAGTTATGTTGCTGGTTAGGACTGCTTCACATTCTTTCAAAAACTGGTTTTAACTGACCTGAGAATTGTTGGGTAGATTCATCGTAGCAATAAATGGCTCAAGTTTTTGATTGAGGCATATAAAGAAAAAGTTTGTCAGATGTCTCATCCCACCCAGTGTTCTGAATTCTTCTAATATTCTACTGATGTACAATAGCTACAAGAGATGACAAACTTGAATTTCACTCAGTACTTTATTGCTTTGAATATGAATGCAATGCATTTTACCTCAACCAATGTGATTAACAGCATGATGTCTGTGTACACATGGTATTAGTATTAACATATAATAAAATGCACATCTATAACATGAACAACCTATGGTTGTCCAGTAAATTAGGTAATGAACCTTTGCTTTTGAGCTTTTCTATAGTAGTGAAGATACAGATGCCAAGAACTAATTAAATAAGCAATAAGCATATGTTGAGTGCTTTCACAGTAAACTAAGTTCTGCCTTGGAATGACACTGATTTCACTTTCTGTCTGTTTTCTCTGGGAAGTCTTTTTGTTTAGAAGCTTGGGGTTAGCTTCCACTAAATCTCAGTTTAGGAAGAGAGAAATAGATCTATCTTTAGTTCTCACCAGCTCTTTTCCAATCCTATCAGTATTTCTATTTTAGTGGCTTTATAAAAAATGCTTATACTTATGAAATAAGAGCCAATGGAGAAGTATGATAATGAAAGATAATCTTATTTTAACAAGTTTAAAGGAACTGTAAACTTATTCTCATACATTCTAGTTTCACAAAGTTGAAACTTCTTACTGCAGAAAACTAAAGGGGAATACCATATTTGGTCAGGCATGGGACAATCAGCTTTCATAAAATAAATATCTCCTATGTATTGCCTTTTATTTATTTTTGGTTCAAATTGGTAATTCCATGAAGTTATTTATTGTATCCACCTATTGAATTTGCACTGTCAAACTGTTTTAGTGCAATTTGATGTATATGTGCATGTGTTTATGTGATGGTTTTTAATATTTCTAATTATCACATATTATCCAGATGAATTATTATTCTTGTTTTTTTTTTGAAGATTTATTTATTTATGTACACAGAACTGGGGTACAAGCCAGAGGTGCAGGGGCGGTAAGAAGATTCACCAGAAACAGTGGAGCAGAACCAGCCAACTGAGGAAGTACACTGCTGAGGGGAGCAGTGGGCGTGTCAGGACCCACACCATGTGGGTCACCTCCTGGGTGGGGATCGAACTAGTGCTGAAGTGGCTTTAGCTTCTCAGTGCTGCATTTATCCCTTTGTGACACCAGGGAGGGCCCATTCTTGTTTGTTTGTTTGTTTTTTATGCATTAATGTTTTCTTGGTCTTGTAGTTAATGTAAAATAAGACAGTTTTTGGTTTTCTGGAGTGAACAAAACAGGGTGCTCACTGTTCTGAATCAGAACAGTAGGTGAAAATCCAGAAAGTAACAGTGAGTTTGCTCATCTATGGGTGTCAGACCTCTACGGAAGAATATTTTTCCCCTAAAAACGACAAATAAGGGGAGCCTCCCTGGTGGTACAAGGGGTGAAAGCATAGACTATGAAGCCATCAGTAGCCACTGCAGCATAAGTTCTATTCTGGGAGAGAGGTGACCCACATCATGCAGCAGATCTCTCCTGTCTCACTTTCTGCTCCCCTCAGCAGTGGATTGCTGTTGATCTGCCTATTCTGCTCCCCAATCTGCCCCTGGTGAATCCTTTCATGCCCTCCCACAACTCTGGCCTGTACCCCAGTTCTTGTATGCATAAATAAATAAACCTTTTTTTAAAAGATTTATTTACTTATTCATACAGAACTAGGGTGCAGGCCAGAGATGTGGAGGGTGAGAGGATTCACCAGGGACAGAGTGGGGAGCAGAGCAGGCAGATAGACGAAGTACACTGCTGAGGGCAGTTCAGGAGAGGTCTGCCACGCCATGTGAATCTCCTCCAGGGCAGCTGGGAATCGAACTCATGCTGAATTGGCTTAAAGCTTCTTAGTGCAGTTCTTTAACCCATTGCGCCACCAGGGAGGGCCTAAATAAATCTTTTTTTTAAAAAGCAAATGATTGTAAATATATTTGTTACATGAACCTCCTTTGAAACAAGAATTTTGGTGAACATAAGAAAATGATGCTAACATAAACACTTTTCCTTAAAATGTAGTAAATGCCATTGATAAGCAGAATTGAAATGTGTTATTTTTATGTCATATGTACTAAGGGTTATGCTTAAACTGGGACGCCATAAAAAGTGCTATCACAAAGGGCTCTCCCTGGTGGTGCAACAGGTTAAAGCACCTCATTATGAAGCTCTACAAAGCCACTTCAGCATGATCCCTGTCTGGTGTGGCAGACCTCTCCTGACCTGCCCACTGCTCCTCTCAGCCGTGTACTTCCATGACCTGCCTGTTCTGCTCCCCACTCTGTCTCTGGTGAATCCTCTCACCGCTCCTGCACCTCTGGCCTGTACCCCAGCTCTGTAAGCATAAGTAAATAAATCTTAAAAAAAAAAAAAAAAAACAACTACCACAAAGACTGTTACCCAAGGTTGAGTACCAGCAAGTTACCCCTATCTACATGACTCTTGCATAAAACGACTTTAATTGTAAACGCTGGTTTTCCATTAATGTTCTTTCCCCAAGTCTTTCTTTTTAATTATTTGTCTCCCCTTCTCCCTTAATGGAAAGTTCAGATTTGTCATCTCCAAAGCTGGAACAAGTTGAGTCACCTACTCAAAAGACTCTTCATACTTCAAAATGAAGTTCAACATGTTCTGTATATCACAGAGCAAATAAATGCAACCTTGACCAATAAGTAAATTAATCGTCAAAGAAATCCACAATCCATAAAGCAAAAAAAAAAAAAAAAAAAAAAGGAACAAAAATACCTAACCCGCTGGCACCAGATGTTCTGAGATCGGGACCAAGGAAAGAGGGCGCTGGGGCCCCAGTGCGCGCAGGCTTCGCTTTCGGGGCACAGCTGGACAGCTCAGCCCCACCTGGAGGATGCTCTGTTTACTTCTCGGGTTGCGGCCTGACGATTGGCGGCTGTGCTGGAAGGGAGGGTCCTCAGGAAACGCGACACTGAGGATGCTGCCCCTATCACATGATGGAAATTTCCACTCTTTAGAAAGGCGAAAGGGAAAAGAAAGAAGGGTCTCTCAACTCACCCTTTTGAGATACATACCCTGGATCCAAAGCGGGAGAGGGGAGAAAAAGAGGCGGGTGAGTGAAGCTTTGGATATTATCTGTAAGAGTGAAAGACTTGTCAGTGTGCAAACTTGTGGCTGACCCCAGCCGGGTGGATGTGAGTGTGTGGGGGTGTGCTTTGGGAAACGCACACGTGTGCAACCTGGTCTGTGAACCTTTTGGAGTTCAGGTGACAGATTACAGTTCCTGGTAACTAGTTGCTGGCCCCTAATTCTTATTCCCCACCCCAAAGGATCACACTTGGGGTCGGGAATGTTGCAGATATTGACCTGGTTGCCTAGAAGTGAACTGGGACCCACGTAGGGAAAGGAAGCTCGCGTGTGCCTCTGAGAAGCGAGGGGCTGTGCCAGCGCAGCCTGTTCGGTGAGGTGGGAGAGTGGAGGTGCGCTGCCTGGGTGTTTGGCGCCAGCAGCGCGGGTTCGGGGAGCCCCTGGGCGCTGGGTTTTGAATGGGTGTCTTGGAGCTCGCCTTCCACCTCCGTTCCTGAGCCGCCCGCCTGGCTGGGAGGGGACGGGGTTGCTCAGCTCCGGCGACCTGGCTGCTGGAGCTGGCTCTGCCTCGCCGCGGGATGGTGCCGGCAAGGTGTTACCCGAGTCTTGGGACCCGCGCCCGCGTCCTCAGGGTGGGGACACTGGGTGCTGGGCTTAAAATAGACCGGTCGTCCCTGACAGCTGAGCCGCCCAGGAAGCCAGCGGGGCGCCCCGAAAGGGGAGCTCCGCCGGGAAAGTCTCCTTTGGAGATTTAGGAGGAGAGTAGTGTGGTGTGTACTGGGGTGTGTGTGTGGGGGGGGGGCGGGTAATTGCGGGGGGAGGCGCTGGGGGGCCGCTGGGAAGGCTGAGCTCGGGCTGGCGAGGAGACGACCGCGCGTCGGAGCCCCGGAGCCGAGAAAGGCGGTGCAGAAACGCTGGAGGTGTAGAGAAGAGGAAACTGTGGGGTACAGCGGAAAAGAGAGGAAGTGCACAGGCTGGCGGAGGAGAGAAGCAAAGCGCTAGAGGGTGGCAGTGGGACGGGAAGTGTGGGCAGGGGGGAGAGCAAGGGTGTAGGGGAGAGACAGGACGCTGGGAGCCTCTGGGAACTGGTGAGGCTGGGAGCGGGAGAGGTGAGTGCGCCCGGGGCCGCGCGCACAGTGGGACTCTGAGCAGCTCCGTGGGCTCTCCGCCCCCGAGGGGGCCCGGGCTGGGGGTGCAGGCCGGAGTGGGGGGAACCCACGAGTCTCCCGCTCCTTTAGAGATCCTGCAGGGAACACCGAGAGTGCCCTTTCTGCATGGGCGCCGGAACCTGGAAGTGTTAACCCATGCAACAGTATAGACATGGAAAACACGCTAAGTGCTAGAAGCTGGCCACCTCCAAGACCCCCTTCTACATGAAATGTTCCCAAGAGGCAAATCTAAGCAGAGCAAATAGGTTGGTGGCTACCTGAGACTATGGATGAGGGTGAGGCTTGAGGATGTGGAGGGAAATGGTGATTGACTGCTAATGTGTATGGTGTTTCTTTGCATGGGAAGGGGGTGATGAAAATGTTCTAAATCAGGTGTGATCCTCGCTGCACAGGTGTGAGTAGACACACATTGGATGGTGCCCTTTAAGTTAACGGAAATGTTCACCCAGCTGCAAAGTGATTAGCTTTTAAAAGACGCTTATACTTATTAATTAAATCCACCGAGGAGTGTGATAGTAAAAGATAATCGTTCACACAGAGGTGTACTAGGCTGGGTAACCAATTGAGGGGGTTAGTAGTTTGGGGTCTTGAGAGACTTGGTGAGGCTCCAGAGAAATCCCCCCTCTCCCCCCTCCCACGCACCCCACCCTTTAGATCCCTGCCTGATTCCCCAGGCAGAAGGGTTGATCTTGATGTCTGTTTCTCAGCACAAAAAGTATGTATAAATAAATAAAAAAAAATTTTTAAAGCACGTCCTTCTATGTTGTGTCGCAGGGCATCTTAGAAGTCAAGAAAAGAGGTGAAGTGGAACCAGTGGTTGGTAGATGTAAGCTGCCGCCCGCAGGGCACTTTCCACAGAGGTGGCTATGCCCTGTGCGCACCTCACCACCCACTCCTGATTTGCTTTCTGTTACCGGGAGGGCATGTTCTTAGGTGGGAGACAGTGACCAGGCCTCTGGCTAGGAGAGGCTGCTTTCCAATTTCCTGGTATTTTATATTCATTTGCTTCCTGACATCATCATGACTAAATTGTTTTATGTTTTAAAGAACCTGCTATACCTGGATCGCAATTTTCAGGACTAGGTGCCAGGGCTATAATTTGGATTTGTTTCAGCTTTGGTGATTACCTTAATTTAAGGCTCTTGGAGAGACTAGAGGGGTAGGAAATTAGCTTACATTTCTGTTTTGGGATTTTTTTTTCTTGTCCTCACTGCAAGCAAATCTTTAAAGAGTCAGTGAGATTGGTGGATTTGAAATAGTGAAGAAGTGTGTGTATATGTATGATCGTCTTTCACATTCTAATAAATTAATCTGTAGAAAAATCTGTGGTCTGGGTAGAAGTTTGTAATGACAGAGAAACTGAACAGAATTATTTGATAGCCACCAATTACTGACTACTCAGAGACAGGAAGTTTTCATTGGGTTTATTTTTATCACAAATTTTATCTTATTTTTAAAAAGATTTATTTATTTATGCATACAGAACTGAGGTACAGGCCAGAAGTGCAGAGGCAGTGAAAGACTTCACCACAGACAGAGTGGGGAGCAGAACAGGAAGATCTACAAATTACACTGCTGAGGGAACAGTGGGTGGGTCAGAAGAGGTCTGCGGCACCATGTGGGTCACCTCCGGGGCTGGGGATCGAACTCACTCTGAAGTGTCTGCAGCTAGCTTGCAGTACTGCATCCTAACTCATTATGCCACCAGGGAGGGCCCTTATCACAATTTTTAAAAAACAAAACCAAACCAACAATTCAGGAAGATTTGGAATTCAGTGCTTCAAGGAGGCTAGTCTTTACTAGATTAATGAGAATAAAGACACACATATATAGCAAGCATTATATTCCCTAGGTGATGTAGCAAGTATTATATTCCTTGGGTGACCCTCATAACACTAATATGAGATAGAATCTGTTAGTGTACCCATCTGAACACTAAGAAATGGAGATAAACATACAAAATCTTTGTAAGTTCTGCTTTGGGCAGTCATTATTCTAAAATGTAAATGAAAAATTCTCTTTCACTTTGCAACTTCTACTGGACAGAACTAACAAGTGACTTCTATGGATCTACAGTTGATAGCCTAAGAAAGCCAAAAAGGCATACTTATTCAGTTGAAGACTGAATTTTTGCAGCCCTCTGACTAGATTTCTTTAACAAGTGACATTAAAAGAAGTGCATATACACTGGACTGTGGTGATGGCACATGGGTGATTTGGTGATGGGAAGCCCATGGGGATTGCAACTGAGATGGGAGAAGTCACAAAATAATGTAAAAATAAACGATTATATTAAAAATGATAATAAAAAATAAAATAGAATCAAAGAGAAGTGCATGTATCTTTTAAAATATATGCATTCTGTCATCCTTCATTTTTGTACAATGTATGGTTTCCCAGTGAAATTTCCACCCCTGATTCAATTCACCCGGGCACCATCACTGTGGTCTCTTGTGCTGCTCCACCCTGCTGCCTTTGGCCTGTCCTGGCCCTAAAGAAGTGTACACTTATGTGTGTTACCTGACAATTCATAGAACACGAAGGACAAATGTTTCAGCTTGTGTATGTCATCTTCTATGTTAAATGTTCTTCTTTTATGGCATTTTCTTTGCTGATTGCTGCAGTGTTTCTCAGACAACTATGCATCAGTTCTTTTTTTTTTTAATCTTTATGCCAACATATGAATAGTTTCTAATTTTTAAAAAATAATTTCGTTTTAAAACTTTTTACATCTCGAAAGCAATGATTTCTATAAACATCAAGTATGAATAAGGGATTTAGTGGCTACACATACTTGATATTTATATCAAATAATTATATAACAAAATAACTCTGCAATGCTTCTATGTACCACCTGAAGTTATTCTTCATGAAACTACTCTTCTTGTGGCATCATGTAGGAGGGGGTGGGAGCAGGGTGCCGACAACTGGAGAAAAGGAGTACTCTCTAAGAGCAGAACTTTGAGCTAAGCCCTTTGCATAGGTGAATCACATTTTCAGCGGGTTGTTATTTCCATTTTCCAGAAGAGGAAATTGAAACTCAGAGAAATGAAGGAGAAGAGCCAGGGGTCGCACAGCTAGGGACCTCCACTGTCAGCTTTAGCAGCTGCTATGACAACTTCCCTGAAATACAGACAGCAATAAGAGAAAGACTCAGAAAAAAAATTACGGAAAGAAGAGGCTCAGAAAGGTGTTCAGGGCAAAGCAGGATTCGGGAGACAGGGGAAAATGGAAACCCCCAAGTCGCCTCCTGCTACAGGGCAGGGTGAGGGGCACCCCAGAACACCTAAAAGTGCCCACTCTAGGTAGGTTCTGCCTTCTGTTGCATTAAGACAAAACATACTCTAGTGTGTAAGACTTTTGATGAAAAGGAACTTTAATAAAATTGGTATGCAATACAGAAAATGGAAGAATATAGTTTCCAAGTCAAGCCCTGAAGTTACCCATCCCTTTGTGGATAAATGCCCAGACAGAGTCGTCCCAAAGCAGGGTCACTGAGTCCTGAAAGCCTGCCACAAGTCTGCCCTGTCCTCCTGGTGGGGACAGGGGCCAAAAGGTCCAGACAAGTCTGGAAGGAAAAGAGGAACAAGAGAACCAAGGTGAACAGTGCCATTGTTAACATCCCGATGGAGCTCTCCCCCACGTCTGTTCCAACCAGTTCAGGACCAAGAAGCAAGAACTGCTTCTTCATGTGTCTGCCTCCCTCAGGTCTCCTTCTGGCTCTCCATCCTGCTTCCTTCCTTCCCTAGTCTCCTTTCTAGGTTTTCCTCCCTGTTCAGCTCCACCCTCCCTTGGGTGGTGCAGGGTACCTGAAACATCTCCTTTTCCTAGGGACTACCCTGTTACACTTTCACTC